CAAAGGTTGTTGTTGTTGTTGTTGTTGTTATTATTATTATTATTATTATTATTATTATTATTATTATTATTATTATTATTATTATTATTATTATTATTTGCAAAGGGAGCAAGAGGATGTAATGATAGGCACATGGAGGACATGAGATGCAAAAAGCAGCTAAGAGAAAAGCCGAAGGTACACGTAGAAATCTGTTTATGAAGAATGGCCGGTGCAGGCTCCGCCAAGGGGTGACATGCTCAAGAGGGAAATGGGGGGGGGAGTGTGAAGGAATATCAGAGCATGTGCATGTATCTGAGAGCAAATGGTGCGGCTTTGGAGAGCACTCTGTGGGGCTGCAAGGCAGGAAGAATACGTGAGGCAGGCGTGTGGGTTTCGTTGTGAAGAAATCTGGACTGTGGGGTAAGGCGTGACTGAAAAGGGCCCAAAGGCTGAGAAAGAAACGCATATGAGGAGGAAACCAAATTGCTGGGTTTGTATTTTTAAAAGGCACAGTGGGAGCACAGCGAAGGGGCACATGGAAATGGCTACGAGGGACGCACGGATTCCCCCAGAACAAGCAGGGTGGGAAAAATCATGCGGCTAAACATGTGAGCCGGCACCCAAAAAATCTGGATGCCACACCATTCCCGACACAGCGTTCATGGCTGAATCCACTTAAAAAATCCAGCGGCCTCCCCAGCCACTCTAGCTCGGGAGAGGGCCCCCCCCTCAACCTCCGAGCGTGTGACGGTCCTCGCGAGCCTTTCTGTCGAGGAGAACCGAGGCCTTGCTTTTGCCGCTGGATGAAATGGCGAGTGTCGCTCTGACACAGCTCCTGCCCTGCCAGAAAACATCCCACCGATGTGAGGCCCACGTGACTGAGGGTGATGGGGTGCCCACCTGAACATCCCGTCCCAGGGACCAAGGGGTCCTGGCCTAGATTTTGACCTATAGCAGTTTGGAGGCCTAGGCCTGTGGGGGGGACACGACGGGCAGGCGGTCGGTAACACGCCAGGCTGGAAGTCCACACCCACGCTCCCGCAGGCGTGGGCACATGACAGAGGCGGGATACGGTGACGACGGAGCGAAGGAACGAAGGGGATGCAGAACTAGAAACCAGGGGAGCAACTCTGGGGGAGATTACATGACCTGTGTTATCTTGGACAGGGAAGAAATGGGAACGGTGGATGTTCCCCACGGATGTGCGCATGAGATAGATGACAATGGGCATCTAAGGTGAGAGTTTAGACGCCATGAATATGAGATTTCTGAGTGTGGGGGAGAAGGACCAATGGGGCTCCTTTTTCAAAGCTGTACAAGACCCAGGATGCTGGGCATGTTCCAAAAGGAAGCATGGGCTATGGCGTTACTGTGGTGGAGTGTTTGGGAGACACACAGGGACTGTTCAAGGCGGGCAAACTCTGGAAGTGCACCAAGGGAGACTGGCATAGCTGGCTCAGGATAGCCAAACCCCCTCCCCAAGAAAACGGGGGTGCGTGTGAGAGAGGCACCTTTTGCTCAGCCCACAAGCCACGGATGCCCTTGGGAACAGATGATTACTAAGGCAGGGAAGGAGGAGAGGAAAAGGTTAGTGGGGCCAAGCTCACAGATTTCGCCACCCCCATCCTCCCCCCCCCCTGCCAGGATGGGGGAATCTGTTCTAGGCTGCCCAGATCTCTCTCTACTAAGGGATGCGCTCCTGCAAGGTCTCCCCGAACTTCCTGGCTTCCAGGTCAGCTGCGTGGCATCCCCAAGACTTGCTTCTCCCGATCCCAAACGCCCAAAGGAACACGCCCCCCCTCCCGTGCCGCGCAAAATCTACGCTCCCCAAAACGAGGTCCCCTCGATCGCCGTCCAAACGCGCCCTGGCCCCGGGCGAGGAGGAGGAGGAGGGGGCTTGGGGCAGAGCCTCGATGGGGTCCCCGACCTCTCCCCCCCCAAAAAAAAGAAGGGCCAAGACAGTCAAAACTGATGGGTTTTCATATTTCTGCTCCAGAGTAAAGAGACCCCAGCTAAAAAAATTATCTCAGAATCCAGATATCCCTTTCCCCTCTCTATGTCTTTCAATCCATGCTTGAGCAGGATAAAACTGCAAAGATGAGGTGAACCCCTCCTCCCGTAGCAAACTCTAGCTAGGAAAGCATAATTGTTGGAATGTGATCAATGTAATGACCTTTTTAAAAAGGCTCAGAGAAGAGTTGTTTTTCTTTTATTGTTTCTATTTCCCCTTGCGTTAGTCCATTTCTTTTCTCAGTTGATCTCAGCCCATAAGCTCCAGCATTAACAACAATGGGATATATATTACATTGATATTTATTTGATCCTTAGGTTTTTGGCTAAAACTTGAATCTGTTATATAAAAACAGTCAAAAATGTCTTATATTTTTGGATGAGGATGAGGATGATAACGATTAATTTATAATTTTGATTGACTGTGCCTGGTGTTTTTCAACAACAACAATAACAACAACAATAACAACAGCAACGATAATGATAATGATGATGATGATAATGACGACGACGACGACGACGATGATGATGATGATGATTATTATTATTATTTTCAAAGGATGGAACACACATTAGTAGTCCTCATAGTCATTGGGGCTTTGGGAACAATATCCAGAAATTCCACACAGCATTATAAGCAGTTGCAGATTTCAGAAATAACACCATCAGAGCTACAAAAACCCAGCAATATTAGTAACCCCCCTCTGACATCATCGCTCGCCAGCTCCCAAACCGAGCCCGGATCAGCCTCTTTGCCGTCGCACGCAACGCCGGCCCGCTGCAGGCAGGCAGGCAGGCAGGGGGAAAAGGCAAAGGCTCTCCCCCCCCACACACACACCCCACCCCGGTGACGAAACCCTGCCCCGATCCCCCTCCAGACCTGTTTCCCCCGGGGGAGCTCTGGGCTCAGACGCGGCGCTTCGCCTGGGCAGGAAAGAGCGCTCGGAACATGTGCAGAGTACTCTCGCTCCGGGGGAGGGGGGCGCGCCTTTCCAGCCCCCTAGAGGTGAGGGAGGAGAACCGGCGAGGGCTGAGCATCTCGAACACACACACACACGCGCGCGCCCCCTCCCCTCTCGACGGATCCAGAGTTGGCCGGAGGGGCTTTTTTCTTCTCGGGAGCCCGGCAAGGTCCGGTTTTTTGGAAACTCTTCTCACGGATGCCCGGAACTGTATCCAATGCCTGCGGTCGGGGACAAACCCAGCGAAAGGCACTCTGCACATGCTCAGGGCGCTTTCGCCCTAGGTCTAAGCAGGGACAGATTCCAGACCGCAGGCAAGAAAACAATGCGGGGGGGGGGCTGCATCTTGAAGGCTGATTTCCTGCTGAAAGAAAGCCTGGCAAAACAGCCCACAAATAAAAGCAGGGGGGGGGAATCAAGGTGTGCCGCTGTTGGTTCGCAGGCCAGCCTTGCAGTGTTGGCCCGGCGCTGTTACACGGGGCATTTCAACCAAACTGGGTGTTGTGGCAGCCCTTTTCCCCTAGGCTGAATCACAAGACCCGCTTCCCTTCGCCTGGAGATACTCCAAAGTCCCAGCCTGCTCCATTTAGGCTGGTTTTCCTCTGCCGCCTTTAACACGAAACTGAGCAATGCTCCCCCAGAGTGTGAGATTGAGCATTATTTGGGGACGGGGGGGGGTGAGCAGGGGTTCAGGGCTCACTTGGCTGCTTCAGTCTACAGGCCCTCTTGACTCATCCTCTTCAGCGAGGCCAGCTGGCGGGCCAAATCCACACTTGGCCGGGTTTGGAATAGCTGCCAAAGGCTTTCTGAGAACAGCCCTTTTGCTTTGAGATGGCAAGCTTTCCCCCACCCCACTTGATCTAGGGGGTTAACTTTTGCTTACCTTCTTTTCGATTCTCCTTGCTTGCTTCTTCTAAGCGTTCACGGACGCTCGTTCAACCTGCACGTTTCCAAATAAAACAGCTCATTAGAAGGACATACCAGTCCAATGGCCGCAAAATGTTTGGGTTTTTTAAAACTTCATTTCTCTATTGGGTGTCATTTTGGAAATGGTTCCAAACCCTGTTGACTCTTTGGGACAGCGTAAGTGGGCCCTTGGCTACGCAAAAGCCTTTGACTGTGTGGACCACAGCAAACTATGGGAAGTCCTTAAAGAAATGGGAGTGCCTGACCACCTTATCCATCTCCTGAGAGACCTATATGTGGGACAGGAAGCAACAGTTAGAACTGGATATGGAACAACGGATTGGTTCAAAATGGGGAAAGGAATACGACAAGGCTGTATATTGTCCCCCTGCTTATTTAACTTATATGCAGAATACATCACGTGAAAGGCCGGACTGGATGAATCCCAAGCCGGAATTAAGATTGCCGGAAGAAATATCAACAACCTCCGGTATGCAGATGATACCACTCTGATGGCAGAAAGTGAGGAGGAATTAAAGAACTGCTTAATGAGGGTGAAAGAGGTGAGCGCCAAAAATGGGCTGAAGCTCAACATCAAAAAAACGAAGATCATGGCCACTGGTCCCATCACCTCCTGGGAAATAGAAGGGGAAGATATGGAGGCAGGGACAGATTTTACTTTCTTGAGCTCCATGATCACTGCAGATGGGGACAGCTACCATGAAATTAAAAGACGCCTGCTTCTTGGGAGGAAAGCAATGACAAACCTTGATAGCATCGTAAAAAGCAGAGACATCGCCTTGCTGACAAAGGTCCGCATAGTCGAAGCTATGGTTTTTCCAGTAGTGATGTATGGAAGTGGGAGCTGGACCATAAAGAAGTCTGACCGCCAAAGAATGGATGCTTTCGAATTGTGGTGCTGGAAGAGGCTCTTGAGAGTCCCCTGGACTGCAAGGAGAGAACAAATCTATCCATTTTGAAGGAAATCAACCCCGAGTGCTCACTGGAAGGACAAATCCTGAAACTGAGGCCCCAATCCTTTGGCCATCTCATGAGAAGAGAAGACTCCCTGGAAAAGACCCTGATGCTGGGAAAGTGTGAAGGCAGGAGGAGAAGGGGACGGCAGAGGACGAGATGGTTGGACAGGGTCATCGAAGCGACCAACATGAATTTGACCCAACTCCAGGAGGCCGTGGAAGACAGGAGGGCTTGGCATGCTCTGGTCCATGGGGTCACAAAGAGTCAGACACAACGACTAAACATCAACAACAAATTTATTTATTTATTAAGTGGCCCCTATGCATTTCAGATTTCTAACATTTACCAATTTGCCAATACGGTGATCAGAGATTAGAAAAGTTACTGTTTGGGTCAAGTCCCCAAATCCTCTAGGGAAGATAAAAGAATAATACCAACAACAATCTTCCCATGCTCTGATTATAAGGCCCCAATCCCAAATAACCCATGTGGATGGTTGTGTTTTAGCAGGAACATTATCTGTCTAGCTTTCAACGCAACCACTTTGTTCTAAGCTACAATAACTCCTGAAAGACAGAAAGGCGGAAAAATTAAATCAAATAAGCAGATCCTGTATGTCCCTGCGTTGTGTGGTTTGTTTGTTTTAAACTCTCTGAACCCAAAGACTATCTGTAGCTCCACATTCAGAGGGATGGCTGTTTCTAATTACAACACGGTCTGTGAGGGTTTTCTTCAAAGTCACCCCACCCCCTGCCTGCAGTTGTTTCTGCCGTGTCCAAAAAAAAGTTTAAAGACCACAACATCAAGAGGGAAAACAGAACGTCCAAGCAACCCGGAGGCTTCCCTTCCGGAGTTGCACGCTTTGGTCTGCTCCATCTTCCCGGGCAGGAAGTGACCTTGGCCCGGAGATCTGATGTCACAGAGATGCATGTATGCCGAATGACATCACAATTTCTACAGCCTGTCCAGCTGCTGCCACTGTTTATATGGTGGCTGTAAAAGTGGTGGCAAGCAAGCGTTCAAAGTGGGTGTCTCTCCAATCCTTAGTTCTGGGTTTCCACGCCTTCCTAAAGCCCCCTTCCCCAATTGGGGGTGGGGGTGGGTGGGGAAAGGATCTTTACCATTCTGCCTTTCCTCATTTGGGGGGGGGCTCCCACTTCCTTCCCTCCCTTCTAGAAGCAGGCCACAGAAAACAGGAAACACAGATTTCTGAAGGCTGATGACTCTTGAGTTATTAAGGTCCACACTGAGTTTTTGTCCGAACTTTACAGGTGGCCCCTTCCCCTAAACTGCTGAACCCTATTTCCCAAAACAGGCTCGATCTTATGAAATTAGAAGCTCTAGGTGGGAAAGAGGGCCCTCTGTGGAACTTGATGCCAAAGACCCCGGGAGCAAAATCCAGCCACGTGGGGAAGCTCACGGTGCCATGGGGGGGGGGGCAACACCTTCTCTTCCCTTCCGTCCATCGCTTCCCATTGGCAGTGCAGACAGGGGAACTGCTCTTACACAAATTATTGAGATTAGACCAGGTTAGAGGTGGGTAGGTATATGGGGTTGGGGGACTACAACTCCCAGGAGTCACCAAGCAGCCAGGGAGTACTGGGAACTGTAGTCCAAAAAGCCCACAACTTTGCATGTTTATCTCTGAGTGTGCCGACTTAACTCTTGTATCGCACTGAGTATCGGCCACAGAATCCAGTCCTCAAAGAGGCCTGCCTTTTGTTTAAAACAGAATTCGGAGTCCTGTGGTTTCTTAGCTTGCCCATCACAGCTTCTCACCAACCCTAAGCCAACGGCAGTGGAGGATCAGGGAAGTGGCAACATAACATCAGGGGGACAACCTGTTCCTTCTCTGACTTAAAAAAAAACAAAACTCACAAGTTTCTAGACCTTATGGTTGAAAGATGGTCTTGGAAATATATGGATGATGCCCAATGCAGAAGAAACATGTTTCCTGTTTAGTGTGGGGGGAGTGGTGGTGTTTATTCCTGCTAATGTGTCAGGCAGGAAATACACACAAAAAATGAGTTACCCATGTTCTTCAAAAGCATACGTTCTGTACTGGGTTCAGGTTCTATCCATTGAGCCTCCAGATGTATTTGTTTGGAGCAGGGGTTACACATATCTGTCACTTGGAAAGCGCATGTATTTTGCATACAGGATATTCAGCATTTTTTTAAAAATCCTCCAACGTGGGCTCTGTTTACCGACATTTAAGCTTTGACCGTCATTTCAGAAATGGGGCACTGAGATGGAGAGAGGCCTGGAGCCACAGAACATCAGAGTGTGGGGAAAGTTGTTGTTGCTTGCTGTTTTTCCATTTAGTTTGGGACTACCGCTTCCAGAATCCTCCTGCACTCCCCAGCCAGTGTGGCTGCTTGGGGCGGGGAGGGAGAAGGCTCTGGGACGTGTCAATCAGGAAACAAAAAAGAGCATTCCCCCCCCCCCAATACAGGGGAGCAGAATGGCTGGCAGGGCGGCTGTCTGTCTGAAATCTCGCACATGCAACCTAATGAGGGTTCCTTCCTTTCCTCCTGCAGGCTAGTGAGACAGGACAGGTCAGGACCTGGGGCCTGGATGCCCTTCGGAAAGGATGTACCCCACGGCATCTGAACAGAGGCCTCCCCCCAAAGCAGCATGGACCATATCGGATTTTCTCCGCTTCTCTCCCCCCTGCTCACCGCCGCCACCGCCGCCCCCTCCCCGCCCGGCCTGGAATCACTACCGCCCCTCGGAGAGCATGAAGGGCCTCCTGGTGGCTCTCCTCGGGAGCGGAGTCCCCGCCGGCTTCGTGGCTCCCTTCACCCACATAGCCCACGAAGCCTCGGGCATCCCCTCCTTGGAGATCCTCCTGTTCCGCTGCACCCTCCACCTGCTCTTTGCCGGCTACCTCCGCTGCAAGAAAGCGCCTTGCTTCGGCCCGACCGAGGCCAGCCGGCGCTGCCTGCTCCACGCCATCATCAACGTCGTCTCCATCGGCTGCGCCTACAGCTCCTTCATCATGGTGCCCAGCGGCAACGCCGCCACCGTCCGCAAAGGGTCCTCCACCATCTGCTCCGTCCTGTTGGCGCTGTGCCTCGAAGATAGCCGCCTGACCGGTTACGACTGGTTCGGGCTGCTGGGCAGCACCCTCGGCTTGATCATCATGGTGGTTCCGGACGTCCTCAACCTGGACAAAACCACCCAGCTCTACAACGCTTTCGGCTACGCCTTAGCTTGCCTGGGGGGGACGGCTCTTGCTTTGGGTCTGGTCATCTTTCGGGCGCTGGACTTCCCGCTCAAGCTAATGACGGTGGCCTTCATGTTTGGGGTGGTCGGGAGCCTGGTGTGCTTCCCGCTGATGTTCCTCCTGCAGGAGCCGGTGATGCCTCTGGACCCCTTGACCTGGACGAACGTGGCCACCATCAGCTTCCTGGCCCTGGTCTCCTTCTTGTGCGCCAGCTATGCGGTGACGAAGGCCCACCCGGCTCTTGTGTGTGCCGTCTTGCACTCCGAGGTGGTGGTGACCCTGGCCGTCCAGTACTACGTCCTGCACGAGGCCGTCACGCCCTTTGATATCATGGGGGCCGGAGTCATCTTGGGAAGCATCGCCATCATCACCGTCCAGAATATCAGCTGCGACACGACGGAGGAAGACGAGGAGGACGGAGAAGATGCCGGGGAGCCCGAGGGGAGCCACTAACGGATCTGTGTCGCTGGGACAGCTTCACAACACAACACTTCCCGAAACTGGGAAGTGGGGCTGGAAGCAAAGGGAGCCCAGAATTCGCATCTGCAGAGGGTCGGGGGCGGCTTGTAAGGCCCTCGGCTGCCGTTATCTGGGGGTCAGTGAAGACCCACGTCGTGAAAAAAGACTTTTGGCAAAAGGGGAGGGGGAGCATTCTCATCTTCTGGAAACCACAGCACATCCTTCGCTTGCAAACCATTATCCTCTCTTTTAAGGAGTCTAAAAGGCAGGCACATCTCAGAGCCTTGATTGGCCTGGCAAATGCTTTTCCTGGAAAACCCAAGCCGTGCGTCACGGATTCAGAAGAAACCACAATGATCCTCAGGCCCTCCCTGAAAGCATCCCATAACCTTTGGAAAAGGAAGGATAAAGGCTTCCTTCTTAACCATTAGTGAGACCCCCTGGAAAGTTGCTTGCGAAGAGGAGGAATCACAGCCTGCCGTTCTAATTGAACCCCTTCTGCGCCGCATCCCCGAGGGTGGAAAGATCGTCTCCGACAATCCAGCAAAAAGAGAGGCTGGAAACGGGGGCAAAGAGATTGTATTCAGATCATTTAACAGCCATCCGCTTTCTCAAGGTGGAAAGCAGCAGCTTGGCAGCTGCTGAGGATTTCCGAGCAAGAGGAAGGGAGAGAGCCCAGAGGCCAAGGACAGGCTCTCACTGGCCAGAAGGCAAGAGGCTAGGCCCTGGTGAGGAGGAGGAGGAGGTGGAAGACCCAAGGAGGTGCATCACAGAATGAAGGCTGGGTTACCCACCATGAGGAGACCCCGCCCTGGGCAAGTGCCCTTGTCCACAGAGCAACATCCAGCTTTCAAAACAAAGCAGAAAGCATCCGGGAGAGAAAAGGTATTTCCAAAGACTTTGGTTGAAACAACTGCCTTCAGACAAAAAAAAAGGGGGGGCACCTTCAAGCATCAGACTTCCAAATTCTTTAGAGGAAAGAATGCCACGGTGCCCATTCCAAAGACATTGCAAAACTTTGGGATATTTCTGTGTGGGGGGTACTTTGCATTTGGCTTTGGTTGGTCAGTTACGCTTTTTCCCCCTAAAGTTGTTTCTGAAATAATCTGTTTCTTTCGCTAAGACGAGTGAGCTGTAACTCACAGGTATGATTTTGGTCTGTCTTCTGTCTCCTGTTGTCAGCTATCTGACTGGCCCCCGGCAACGAGGCTCATGGGTTCAGGAAAGGAAGGATGAGGAAAGAATCAGATTTAAAAAATAATAATAACCAAAACTACAAAGAAAACACAGACTGCATCTAGAACAGGGAGTTGGAACCGGCAGTTCTCCTCCGGCTGTTCCAAGCCTCAAGCGCTCACCCTACACATTGATTTGGCGGGTGAGGCCTGATGGGAGATGCAGTCCCATCATCCACTATCTGGGAGGGTAAAGGTTCCCTCCTTCGGATCCAGCACCACCCCTTCAGAAATGGAGATACTGTAGCACAGGATAGAACAAAGTAGCAGAACTTTTCAAAGAAATAAGTTTGCAAGCCCTCCTGGGCGGGTGAGGAAAGGATGAATTATTATAACCAACATGCAATTAAAATCTTTTAAGTGCGGCAGGAGTGGAGAAATGGAAGAGCTGGGCCCCCCCAGGTATTAGGGCTCCCAAGGAACTATCTGGCAGACAATCAGCTGAAGCGGGAAAAAAAATAAGACTCCTCAATGAGCACAGCTAGGGAACTAGGCAAATTAGTGAGTTTTTTGTGCAAAAGCTGGCATGTAGGGACTGATGGCTTTTCAGGAATGGAAGGGTTAGGGTTAGGGTTGAAAAAAATAAAATCTTCGCTGTGCCACAATGGCCTTGAAAGTTATTGTTCAAGAATACTTGTTCAACAAACATAAAGCAGTTTTGCAAGAACTAGTACACCCTTTAGCAATCTGCTCCTGCACTAATGGGTTCTACACTGGAATAAGAACAAAAACAACAATACGGCTGATGAGGCGTGTTTGGGGCTCCTGAGATGCACCACGGGGCCAGCGATGGTCCAGCTACAGTCTTCTGGAGCAGCTGCAAATAGGTCTATCCCGCTTCCCCCCGCTATTCGAGGATAAGGGGAGATGCATCCCAGCCCTGTTGGGGGGAGCCGATGTCAGCCACAGGGAGCAATAATCTGGGTGGATGAAAAACTCTCTGGTTCCTTATCAGAGCTAGAAAAAAGGCACTTAAAAAAAAGCAAACACCCAGATCTGCAAGTTGGAGGGCCCAAAAATAAGTCAACTCAAGCCAAGATTCTCCTTTGCTTCGCATCTGGGCGTTCAACTTGTTACATCTGAATGTGTTTTGCATTTAGGAAGCAAGAACGCACCCTTGGGCTCTGACCGCGGAGAGTGCATCTTAAGCCAAAGCCCACACATTCTTGCTCAAGAAACGAAGGGTGTTGCTGGATCTGGCCGGGAACCACCTCCTTCGAGCGGCTCTGTAAGAACCTCGGCAACTGACGTGCCCGATCTGGGGGGGTCTCGAAAGAAGCCGCGACTGCACGGCGTCCACCACAGCATGCAGAAGCACCCCTTCTGCTGGTGGCAAAATATTCCCCCATGGAACGAGGCTTTGGGGGCGCTTGCAGCTTGCCAAATGTCTAACATCCTGCCTGTCCCCAGATCATGCTGGTCACACCCGTGAACTTAACCCAAGGCCAAACAGAACATTTCATTGCCAGTCAGGCCTTGATCCCATTTCTATCCTCTGCCTTACATGACAAGAAATGGCTGGCATGAATGTTTGCAGGATCTTAAATATGTCCAGGTGCTCTTTTTCTTTAAGCTGAAGGCCCAAGGAGGCAGACAGCTGTGTTCATTCCCCCCTTTGGCTGTCCTTAACCACCGACTTGTCCTCCCCTTTTGCTTCCTGGCCCCTCCTGATCCGTCAAGGAGCGAGCTGTGGGAGGGCAAGCCCACCTGTTCCACCAGGACTCACACCTGTGCATGTTGTGGAGGCGATGTGGCCGGCCTCTTCCGTGCCTTCTTACCTGGGAGACCCCGGAAACAAAACAGTAAAGCACGAGAACGCAAGGCGCTGGATTTCAGCCGACACACGGTCGGTCGGCAAAATAAACATTGCCATGAGACGCCTGCTCCTGTGAAATGGGGAAAAAATGACCCCATCTTGGGTTTTGCTGCAGCCCTGCCACAGCCCTCCCCCCCCCAAAAAAAAGTGTCCGGCAGAAAGCAAAGCAAAAACATCACCCCTACCACACACAGCAGGCTCCACGAAGGCTGCTTTCAGAGCCACTTAAGTCCTGCCTTTTGCTCTCTCTTTTTTAAAAAAAAGACGATTCTCAGAAGAGAGGCCAGGCGTTGCATGGTGGAAGCGGTGTGCAGAGACAGCTGGACCGAGCCGGGCCGCCATCCTGCCCCCTGGCGGCTCCCTGGCTACAGAACTTACCAGAGTGGAAGCCCTCTTGGCAGGCCCAAGCCAGGCCGTGGCCTAGAAAGTTCACCACATGCCCTTGCGTGGGTGTGCGTGTGTTGCCGTTTGCTGCCTGCACTTCCGACTCTTTCCTTCCGCGTTAAGCAAAATCTTCAGTTATTAAGTAGTGGGTGGAGAAATGGCATGCACGCCGAGGCTGAAACGGTCTCTCTTTCCCTCCCCGGTCCTTGCGCCTTCACGCACCAGATCCATTTCAAGGTGTCATGTCCTCGGCGGGTCTCCTTCCCGCTCCCCCTTGTCTCCTCACTGTCTTTTCTCTAGGGTTTCTCAGAAGCTGGCCTCTTTCCGTGGAAACAACTGCCTCCTCCTTCCTCGGAGACCGCTCCTTCCTGCTTCCACTCTCCCGGCAGGAGACCAATTTTCCAGCCATCCCTTTTTCCTAAACTCACTCTGCTTGTCTTTCTTGCCTCCCTCTCCAAGGCCATTCAGTCCCCCACCCCTCATCTTCCCTTTCAGCATCACGTCCTCTCGGCAAGGACACCAGCGTAGGGAAACAGAGAGGGCAACCCTGCTTTGGACCAGGACCTTTTTAATGGAGACCATCGGCATTCTGCCTCAAAAAAGCGGAACCGACCCTGGCGAAGGATCTCCACCACCAAGCTGGGCCTTAAGAAGCCGGGTAGTAGCTTTATCCTGCTCCTGAAGAGCAGGGATTTTCCTTCCCTCCTCAGCAATACAGGTGGGGAAGTTTTGGGCCTCCGTGCTTCAGACGTCCGTTCCCAGGAGCCCCAGTTGTCGAAAACAACGGGAAAAAACAAAACCCTCCAAATCTCCCGGGCGGGCAGCTGGTGTCAGCGCTAGCCAGCTGGGCTGGCGTTCAGAGAAGTTGAGAGCAGTGGTTGCATTTTCCACCCCAGTCTTGCAGGCTGGAGAGCCCTGTGGTCTTGATCTTTTTTGGGGGGAGGCAGTGGCTCACTACCGCAACACTCGGCAGCTGAGATGGTGCCCTCTTCCCTCCAGATGTTCTATCCACACATAGACCTCCACCCCCTCTCTGGAACTGCCCCAAGCTTCCGTTCGTTGGGGAGGGGGTGCTGCTTAAATACCGATTTGAACCAGTGACTAGTGCGGAGAAAACAGCTGGGCAGCCAGTTGAGATATCAGGCATCAGAAGCATCTTTTGCACTGCCTGCTTCTGGACAAAACCCAGCATTTTTCCATAGTATGGAACCAAAGTATCTGAAGGATGTCTCCCTGTTCTGGTGTGAAGCTGGTCACCCATGTTAAAAACAACTTTAGAGACCATTCTTCGGAGTCCTGTGCCTTCCGCAGGGAACAGGAGACAGACAAGAGATGGGTGACCATCTATCTGGAATGCCTTCCCTGAGGCAAACATGGTCAGAAGCCAGCCTATTCTCTTTCTGGACCATCTTTTCAGTCACCTCATTTTTTTTAGATATTAGATTTGGGAGGGAGAGTTGTGTTAACGCACCAAGGCCGAGGCATAAAATCTTTCGAGGCATTTTGAAAGCCTAAAAATTTTATTCCTCCTTATCTTTCGGTTGGCCAAAGTACACTTCAGCAGGTGGATGAGAGTACCTGCTATAGGGAGCAGGTAGGTACAGTATATACATGTTTGGGACAATCATCAGCGAGTTACAATCAGTGAGACCAGAGAAAACTGAGATGCAAAAGGGATGAGCAGGAATTAGCCAGTGACAGTGTGCCCTTAAAACTTCATTTATTCCTCCTTATCTTTCGGTTGGCCAAAGTACACTTCAGCAGGTGGATGAGAGTACCTGCTATAGGGAGCAGGTAGGTACAGTATATACATGTTTGGGACAATCATCAGCGAGTTACAATCAGTGAGACCAGAGAAAACTGAGATGCAAAAGGGATGAGCAGGAATTAGCCAGTGACAGTCTGTCCTTAAAACTTCATTCATACATTAAATGGATTGTTGTGCTCTGTGGCTTTAAATTAATTTTTAGTATTGCTTTTATTTACCATTTTATATATAATAATTTAAAATTTTTAAACATTTCCATACTTAATGTGCTTTACCATTTTAAATATAATACTTATTTAAAATTTTTAAACATTTGCATACTTAATGTGCTTAGCTTTTCAAATATTGTCTTTTTAATGATGCAAGTCACCTTGGGTCCGTTGAAGGAGAAAGGCAGGGTAAAATATTTTAAATCAATCCACGTCGTGTGACAAAAACCCTTGTTTCTGTTCAAGCCACAAAATGTAAGATCGAACCTCAGGTACAATGGTTGACCAACGGCTTTGCTGAGAGCAACGTTGCTGTTTGCACCATGAAAATTCATCAAGTAATTCAACTCTGTCTCCTGTGGCTCACAAGGGGAGAAAGGCGTTTCATCATACCGCATGTGTTCAAAGGCACAACATTTTATATAACCAACCGACCCTATGCTGACAACCGCTGCTAATTGTCCCCATCCCTCATTCTTGCATTTCAATGGCCGCGGAGTGCACTCATCATAATCTCCCATCGGTTAAAGCATGGGTAGCCTTAAGGAATTTCCTCAGCCTCCGGCTCAAGTCTACCACCAGTCTAGGCCCAACGTATTCAAGGTGCACAACTTTTTCTTGATGTTAAGACTGCCATTTTTGTCGGTTACCAATGTCTCGTGTAAACAAGCAGTTCTTCATTTTGGCCATCCTGGCGAGCCCAAGTAAGGAAAAAGTATAAACCTGCTATGTTAAATAGTCACTGCCCCATTATGCCACGAGAGCCAGGAGGGGATGAGCCCAGTCCGTTATCAACAAGTGACGCTCTGAAGCAGGTTGGATAAAAATACAAATTAATTTTTAATCAATTTGATTTAAGTCATGATTTAAATCCAAAAACTGCTTTTAAAAAAAAATCTAAATTGTCAAAAAAAAAATCCATTAAAAAAAATTTTTAAATCACGATTTCAAATCCAGCCGGCTCTGAAGGCAGCCAGCCTCCTATGGACACCACGGCCAGGACAAATTCTTGCTTTATGAACTGCCCCCTTTCCTCACTAAATGGGGAGTCAACGTCAATCTAAACCCCAGAGTTATCCTGGCAAACTAACACATCACAGTTTCTCCTTCTTGGCTGCTTCATGTCTACCTACTTTCTGTTTTCACAGGAAAAAAAACAACAACCCAAGATAAGCAGAAAACACTTATTATCCTGTTAGGCAATGCTCAAAGAGTGCTTAGGGATATCCAAAAGATTTTGTTCACACGATGGTGGCAATTCTTATAGCCATACTACACAGAGGGAACTGGTGCTAAGGCAGAGCTTGCAGAAGTTACATTTGGGACTATGACTTCCAGAACAGTCCCTGGGAAATTCTAGAAAATACCTGAAAACTAACTTTTCTCAGCTCTAGGTTGGGGGGGGAGGGAGTTGTCCAAGGCCATCTATGGCAGGGAGATCTAAAGCTCAGATCTTCCAGTTCACCCTGCTAACTGACACTAATTTGTATGCCCTCTAGATCCGAGAGACCCTCCCCTCAGGGATTCCTGAAAAATCTAGAAGGAACTCCACCCCCCAAAATCTTGGGGATTTCAGGGTGCTGCAGTAAAGCTAATTTTCTGTCTTCAGAGAGCTGGCACACTAGCTTTCACAGGCCTTCAGAAAGAACATAATGCACCCTAAGTAGTTTGTGGTTTTTCCAGTTTCAAGAGACAATTCCTGGCAGGTTGCACAGAGCAAACAGTCCCCCCCCCCTTTTACCAGCTGAGCTAACCACAAGTGCTGATATTTCTAAATTCCAAAGCCATGACTTGGCAGCTTGGATCTGGAAAACAACAAAAACACAGAATCTTAAAGCTTGCCAGTTGCCTTCCATTTTCCCCAAGCCTTCTGGAACCTCACTACCACACTCTGATAATGTCTTTCTCTATGAGGACTAGAAACCTTCAAAACCTTAACAATGGCTGTCAACATGAATAGTACTTCTTACAGCCAGCCGGTAAACCAGCCCCCAGCTGCTTTTAAACAAAAACACTACAAGACACTGGTGTCAGTTTTAAAAGACCATTTATTCACAATACAGTATTTATTATGGACACATTTCTGCAGAGATGGGGAAGGAGAGGAGAGGGTGGCAGAGAGAAGTAGGAATGGGGAAAGAGGTGTGGCCACCACAGAAGCTCCAGAAAGCAGCTCTTGTGCTGAAAGCACCTTATTAAAATGCAAATGTAATCACAGGCACTTTCAGGCATCCGACTTCCCCAATAACCAGATGGCATTTGTATTTAGGAGAATAAATCCGAGCACTCCCTGGGAGAACAAATTTTGCACAACACGCTTTGTTGATGAGGGCGTAGCGTCCGCCATCAGGGAAGGGTGACTTTCTTCACAGGAAGCACTTTGATACCATCCTTTCTGGGGGGGGGCAGCATTTGGGGGCAGGCAACCCACAGCAGCTAGTCTAGGGAACTAGAATTCAACTTTCAGAGGCGCACAGGAGCTTATATTCTTACACCCTCTCCTCAGCCATGCAAGTCTGCCAAGAGCCAAGTCTCACGGAATTTTGTTTTACGTTATGTACATTTCTAAAACCACCCCTTTGCTGCATACCATGCACAGGGCTTGTGCTCTTTACATGAATGTGCTCAGCGGCCATTGATTAGCTCCCGCCCTACCCTGCAGGACAATTTCCCTTGTCCGGGTCCCTTCTCCCCTTGCAGAACTCTGACCCTGTGCCTGGGCAGCTGGATTCAGAGTCAGCTCAAGGGTGTCCCCAGCAGGCCGGGAGGAAGGCAAAGAGGTTGCCATGCCGGCCAAGGGATGCCTGGGAAGCGTGCAAGTTGAGCATGGAGGAAGCCCAGCCTCTGTTTTGCTGAGGCAAGCTCAAACCTCGCAGCCATTTTCAGCAGCAGCTTTGCTGGCTCCATTCCTCTGCTGGATGGGATGGCTGAACGTATCGCAGCCGGGCGGGCTGGTCCTCCTGTGCCATCTAGCGGGCAACAGCACACACATACACTGTGGATAGCAAGAAAGCACAGTCCACCCGCCCCTCCGGAAAGGCCTTTCATTTCCTCTGGCTTCTTAACCCCAACCCCAACTTCTTATCCCTTCTACTGATCCCGGCTTCCTCCTACCCCCCCTAATGCCAACCTGTCCTCTGCATTCTAGTTTCTAGACCTCTGTAACTCACCTCTTTTGAAAGGAGGCAAATCCCCCCTCCCTCTTGCTCCAACTCTTCCTTGTTAGACTTTCAGAGCCACCCTCCCTCCTTGCACAAAGTCTAAGCCAGTGGTCCCCAACCTTGGGCCTCCAGATTGTTCTTAGACTACAACTCCCAGAAGCCTTCACCACCACCTTGGCTGGCCAGGATTTCTGGGAGTTGAAGTCCAAGAACATCTGGAGGCCCAAGGTTGAAGACCACTGGTCTAAGCCATCCTGCTGCTCCTTAACACTTTATCTGACTTTCCCTCTTTTTTCATTGGTCCTCTCAGAATATTAGAACAGGAAGGGGTGGGAAGATTTCAGGCTTCTAAGACTTACTGTGCTTCCTGCCTCCAGCCAACCCTAGAAAGAATCCTCAGAGCACCCAACAGAGATGGTTGCAAACTCTTGGCTCAGAGAGGTGGAGAGAACAGGAAGAACTAGAGAATAAGGAAGTGGATTGTAATTCATGAAACCTCACACTGAAAGCATTCTTTCAGTCTTTACAATGGCATTGTTTCTTTTCTTTTTATTACAGAAAAGAATTCTAGCCAAACAAATGCTCAGCCCTCATACTCTTTTGAACCAAGATCACTAATTGATGTCACATTTAAATCTGCTCCTGGTTTGACCTGAAATATTTTCCCCCAGAAATCCAGTTCAGAGGAAAACACTCTTTAGCACTTGCTATTGTTATGACAATTGGAAGTCAAAAACTCTTGGTCAACTAATCCTAAATCACCCTAAGATGTACCACCTGATCCTGGTTAACCTTCTGCCCATCCCTTGCTCAAAAGACAGCTAATATAAGGTTGGAGGTCATGTCATATTTTAACAAGCCTCTATCAATCCACAGGGATGCAAACTTTGATTTTATGAACCAACTCATTTGCCAAACAAGGGGTTGGGGCTTTTTAATTTAAAATTTTTAATGGCTATATTTGGCATCCTAACTCAACTATTAGCACAACAGCCCAAGTTAAACCCTGCTTGCCAAAACAGAAATCAAATAGCATTTTACTAAAATGAAATGGTATTAATGACTCCTGAATCAGATGTAATTGTAAAATGGTATGATGGTGGGAGATCCTCTCTGTCTTTACAGTACAGACTTATGGCTTAAGCTATGATCCTAATATGTATTAATGATGACAAATACTGGGTTAGGAAGGGTGATAACTCTACATTAAGCAAAGTCAAAGATGCAGCCGGAAGGGGCAGTTTCCATAATCTAATCCTATCAGTCTGCTGCTAAAAAGGAACAAAGATAGGTTTCACAATTCCCAAATAAATAGCTGTGCTGGTCTGTGTCAGTGTGCTGACAAAAGAAAAGGTGAGAAAAAAGGAGGAGATAAAACCCAAAAGTATTTTAGCACTTTTATTTCAGCCTCAGCCTTTGTGGAGCAAAGTCCACTCCCTCTGTCACAGGACTAAAACTAGGTGGTCAGTGTATTCCTAGATAGCCCCACGACCACGTAAGGATATAGGTAACAGACAAAGTGGCAAGCACTTAAAAGCACTCTCTGGGTGGTTTACAGTTTTAAAATTATGCCGTTTACACACTGTGCTCCCCCCCACACCAAACTGGGTACAGTACTCAATTTACTGACCTTGGAAGGATGGGAGGCTTGAAACAACCTCAAGCTGGCTACTTGATCTCATCGAGATTGAACAGAGCAGAGTCTTGACTGCAGTACTGAAGTTTAACCACCGCGCCACAATGCAGTTAAGAAGAACAGAGTTATTATAGTATGCACGTTCAAATGAGAAGGTGGGCTGAGTATGCATGAAAACGTACTGTATAATAAACCTGTTAGCCTTAAACCAGACAACTCTCTGTGGAAAAACCAGGAATTGTTCCTGTAACACCTTAATATGGGCCATCTTTTTCACCTTTCCCTCCTTTGCAAACCCAGTTTCTATTATTCACACCCACTCCATATGCTCTAGTCTAGAAACAATCTACTGTACTGTACAGCTAATATCAGTGAGTACGAGAGTTTTCCAACACCTATAAAGAGTTTACTCACTTCCAGGTGAATCACTGTGGATCCAGAGACATAAAGGAATGCTTGCTCCCCATACCTGTTCTCCAGATGTCCTGCCCATCAGAAATATTGGGTGGAGCAACCAGGAGCGTGAATTTCCGCCATCAAGTAGCATTCGAGTTGTGGAATTACCTTTCCGAAAGGGAACATTAGCAACCTTATTTATTTAATTATTTATATTTATTTATAACCTTATCCTTCAGGCCCCACCAAGCACCCAAAAGGACTTTCCCAAGCTTTCAATCGTATTCTGATGTAGCCTGTTGTTGCAGCTTATTTCTGCATTTTCTTCTTCCTAAACTGCGCTGGAAACTCTGCTAGTAAAAGGCTCATAAAATATCCTGGCAGGTTCAAAACACCTCAAGAAGCCTGGAAAACAACCACCAGAAGCCGGATCTTCTCGGCAGAGAGGGCTGCCACAAGAACCACGTCAAGACACCCTCCCTCCCTGCGCCTTGGAAAAGCAGCAGAAAAATGGAGCCTTTAAAGGAAGCCTTTAGGGACAACTCTCTCCTCAACTGACTGAAACAGAAGAGGAAGAAAAGATATCTGCATACGCCGATGAATAGAGTTTGCTGTCTTTTGTGCTCTTATATGATTTTCCTTTATGAATTGTGTATTTATCGTTATACACCACCCAGAGTAGCGCTCTGCTATAGATGGCTGACATAAAAACTAAATACACAAATCAAGACACACTGTAAGGCATTTAAAAGGGGTCTCCCCACCCACCCCCGCTTGCAATATTTTCTCATCCCCACCTGCAAAGTAATCGAGACACCATAATCCCTCCAAACTTTTCCACCACCACCCCGACATGGCGAAGAGCCACGGATCTTCCCTTTCTCTACCCCTGCCCTGCTGTTTACCTCCCCAATTCCTCTTTCTTCAACCACATTTTATTTAAAATATTTTTTCACCCCTTAAAAAGGTCCACACAACAAAACAAGAGGTCTCACAAAGCAACAGCAGCCCTTTCTTCCAACAGATAAAAGGGGACCCTGTGTTTATAATGAATACAGTATTTTTAGGCCACTGTCCCCCCCACCCACCCCCGGCAAGAATTAGGCGCTAGGAGCCTAAAAGCTGCCTTTCTTGCTCTGTATAGGGGTTGTTTTTCACTCTCCAGCCCCCCTCACAAGCCGAAAATCTTTATTCCCTAGAAGTAATCCCAATTTCCAAAGCCCCTTCCTGAAGATTTATTCGCTGTTTTTTTCTCTCCCCCCCTCACAAGCGACTCCCAGGCTCTAAACTGAATTTCTCCTGACCCCTTGGGGGCCCCCGACCCCAAACAGCCTCGAAAGTCTCCCCTTCCACATAATTTGCACCCCTTCTCACCTGCCCCCCAAAACACCGATTTCCTGAGGGAAACATTTCTTCTTCTCTGACCTCAAATATTTATTCTACCCAACCAAGGACCCCAAAACACCACCCTTGCCCTCCTCAGGGACACCCCCCCCATAACGTCCCTCATAAACTACAACCGAAATAATTTACCTCATCGCCTCGTTGCCATACAAAGGACTTTGCTGGTCCCATGCCCCCGAACCTTCTCCATATCCATCAAGGGCGTCCCCCTCCCCCGAAAAAAAAAAGCAGCTAATAAGAGCAAACCCGCCCTTTAACCCCATAAATCGCCCACCTCATATCTTTGTCTTCGGTGCCCGTTTCCCACCTGTACCGAAAGCTTTTTTAAAATAATCCCCGAGGCGTAAATCCCCTAGTTTCAGGCTCTCCGTAACCCCAGGACTACTCTAAACCCGGCCTCCCCGCGAAGGCCAGGCTCCCTTTCGGAGGTAGGCCCCGAAGCCGCGTGCTCTCCTACGCCGAGCGGCCCAACGGCCGCGCGCCCTCTCCCGGCCGAATGGGATACGCGCGCTCGAGGCTGTGAAGGCCACTCCACGGAACGTTCCATCCGCCTCGACTTTGCTCTCGGCAAAAGCTGGCTCTGAGCAGACTCCCTACTCCTCATCCTCGGCTGTCTTCGGTCCTTGTCGGAAACCTCGGCACATGAGCCACGCCCCCCCGCCTTGGGAGGAGGCTTTACGTCCCCGCCCCCCCCTCAACTTTTTAATAGGCCGACGTCTGTGGAATCCTTTCCGAAACCCGCCAGCACTTGCGGCCAGGCTCCGCCTTCTTCCTGGAGGCTGTACCATTAGCGAAGGAGAGGAGAGAATAAAGTTTGGAAGACAGACTTGGGATTTTATACAGTATGTCCTCGTTTGAGAATAAGTCATTTCGTGTATTTATTTCTGAAACGTACGGATTGGCTTTTTTTTTCCCAACGCCGTTTTATACAAAAGCTCAACTTACATTTGCTTTTGAATTAAATCAAAATACAGTAACACTTTTCAGCTGTTCTTGCTGCCCTCTCAATTTTTCGGTTTCCCTTTCCTTTAGTTACCATGCCAGCCTTTAGCTAGCTTATTTATATGATCAAACATGTCTAAACCCATCAGCCAAAAGCGCCATACAGTACTTTACTAAGGACAAAAAGACACCATTAAGAATCCAGGATTTTTGTCCCCCCCCCGCCATAAAATTGGTTTAGCCCTTTCCGCCGCCACCCCAGCCCCGCCTCTAAAGCCTCTTCCGCGTTACGCAAACCACGCCCCCTCCTTCTCACCGCCTGCTCTCGAGGACGCAGCCGCAGCACCACCCCTTTCTCCCTCCTCACCCTTGCCGCCTAGCCCGGGCAACCCCGTGTAGGGCGGCGAGTCTATTTAAGGCGGCGTCTGAGCTCCTTCGGCTCAGTCGCGCCTTAGAGCGCGGAGGGAGAAGACGGGAGGGAGGGAGAAAGGCGGCTGGACGTGGTCGCGCGGGCGGGAGAGCGAGGGGGCGGACTCTGTTTGGCGCTTTCCGGTTTTTTTAATTATTTCTTTTTTTCCCCCCGCTTCCTGCCGGCGGAGAGACGTGGGTTGGTAGCGGCGAAGAAGGGCCCGGGCCTCGGTTCAAACCGGACTTGGTGGCGGGGGAGGGGCGGCCGCTCCTGCTCCTTCCTTCCTGGCTGGTGACGGACTGAGGCGGAGCGGCGCCTGCGTCACGTGACTCCAGGAGAGGCGCGCCCGGCTCCCGAGGCGGAGAGGAGCGAGCGCGCGAGGCCAAGATGCACGGGGGCGCGCCCTCCGGGGACAGCGCGTGCCCGCTGCGCACCATCAAGCGGGTGCAGTTCGGGATCCTGAGTCCGGATGAGATGGTAGGGGTTGCAAGGGTGCAATCAAGACACGGGGGCAGGCATGCGGTGGAGGATCTAGGATTGTACGTTGATAGGGTGTTAACGCCTTTTGTAAAAATAAAAACGTTTTTTAAAAAATAATTTATATTTTTAAAATGAAAAAGGGGGGGTCGTTTGCTCAGCCATGAGTTACCTCCGTGGATGTTACTGCAGGTGTAACTGCTTCTTCCCTTCCTCCACCGCAAGATGGTTTCTGCAGGCATGCGGTGGAGGATCTAGGATTGTACGTTGATAGGGTGTTAACGCCTTTTGTAAAAATAAAAACGTTTTTTAAAAAATAATTTATATTTTTAAAATGAAAAAGGGGGGGTCGTTTGCTCAGCCATGAGTTACCTCCGTGGATGTTACTGCAGGTGTAACTGCTTCTTCCCTTCCTCCACCGCAAGATGGTTTCTTGACACTTGTAGATCTTTTTTATATCTATATTGATTGGTTGCACAAATTAAAATCCCACATTTAATGTCAGGTGTGAGGCAGCATCCATTTGTCATTTTTGTACACACACATATATATGTGCAAGTATGTGTCTGTGTATATGCATATGTGTAGGTACAATATGTGCATGTACGTATATATTTCTGCATATATACAGTAGTATCAAATGGATGTTACCCCATGCCTTGCATTAAATGTGGGATATTAATTTGTGCATTCAATTGGGAGTTAACTTGTCCAAAAAATTCACTTTTTGCTATACTCTGTACCAGGTTCTTAGGCTTGATTAAGAGTGGTCTTAGGTGGTCTGTTCTACAAATTCTGCATCACAGCACCCTATTTGCTGTTTTTCTCAAATATTTTGCTCGATTCTGCATGGGTAATGAGGAAATCCACAAAAAGGAACTTATGCATTTCACAATTGTTTGTTTGTTTTTGCTTGTCATTTTTCAACTAGTGTGGTAAAAGTGTGTCATAGAGAAGTTTTGGAATTGCCCTTATAGTAAGGAGTAAAGTCAATTGCGTAATTTCATTTTTACTTTTTAAAGTGAAAAATGGCCTAATTGTAACTTTACATTCTTGAGAGATTTTATTTTTCTCGTAAATTTGGTCAGACGTTTGTTTGGCCGATGATATATTTGAAGATCACTGTGTTCCTATTTTTATGTTCTTGCACCTGTACCAACTTAGATCTTTATTTAAAATATTTTACCTCGCCTTTCTCCTTAAGTCAGCTTACATCCCTAAAAAAACAACATTTGAAGCTAAAACCAGTAACTATACAAATACTAAATGGTATCAAGCAAATGCTAAAAAAAAAGTAAACAAAAGCAGCATCTAAAACACATTTAAAAGCAACAAAGCACAACTGTCCCTTAAAAAGAAACCCCACTCAGGCAGCCGGTTACCAAGGAAAAGCCCTCCTGGAGAGAAAGATATTTATCTGCTTGTGGATCTTATAGTTGTAAGAGTCTATGCGATTAACTGAAGATGCTGTTGCTGTGACACCATATTTTCCTGCTCTTTTCTGAAGTTTTCCTTTTCTTAACAGATCCCGTAGATTGGTTTGGTTAATGATGTTCTTGTCTTCCTTTTTTCCCCCCTCCCCTGTCAAGAAACGGATGTCGGTGACAGAAGGGGGCATCAAATACCCTGAGACAACAGAAGGGGGGCGCCCCAAACTGGGGGGGTTAATGGACCCTCGCCAGGGTGTCATTGAACGGACCGGACGCTGCCAGACCTGTGCAGGTGGGTGCATTGCCCGTGATTTCACAAAGGGGGGGAATGAAACAGTCTCCATGGGTGTATGTTGTGTGTGAGTGATACTGGGCTGGAGGAATAAAGCGGCTCACAGCGTCTGTTCGCGTCCTCTGGCAGGCAACATGACGGAGTGTCCCGGCCACTTTGGTCACATTGAGCTGGCCAAGCCTGTCTTCCATGTTGGCTTCCTAGGCAAGACCATGAAGGTTCTGCGCTGCGTCTGTTTCTTCTGCTCCAAGCTGCTGGTGGACTCGGTGAGTAAAAAAGAGAGGACTCAGAGCTACAGCCTTGGAAGGAAGTCCAGGTAGTCGGCTACTGCCCGCCCTCCAGTTTATAGTCACCTGTCGGGCAGGGCTCTCTTATTTTCTGTCCTGTCACTTTAAAAAGAGAGAAAGAAAAGCAGCTGCCTCTTTTCTACCTGCTAATGAGCCTCTTCACTGGGTTGCTTGTCATTGCCCGCCATAGGTTGGTGAGCCCTGACAAGTCTGGCATCTGGCATTGTCCATCACAGCCATTTATTTTATTTTATTTATATCCTGCCCATCTAGACCGAAGGCTACTCCAAACTTCAGATAGTAAGGAAGTAAAGTTTCAAGGTTCCTGGGTGGTTTATGTAGGGAAAAAATGCATCTTGGTGTTTTTATTCAAATAATCGAAGCTGGAGTGTTGTAGAATAATATAGTAATCGTAGAACGGGAAGGGTCTCTGTGGATCACTGCGTCCCGCCCCTGCCAAAGAGGCCCAGCGGGGAATCAAACTCCCAACCTCTGGCTTTGCTGCTTAAACCGCTGAGCTGTCCCAACAGTATTGTAGAGTCCGTGGAGCTTTTTCCTGCCTGTGAGCTGGTATTCAGAGCGCTTTGTCTCGGCAGAATGCACCCAAAGTGACGTAGTATAGCACTAAAAAGATGGTGGTTAGAGGGGCAGAGGTACTCGTGGGTCTTAGGTAACCCACTTGGGGATGGAAGTGTTTGAGGGGGAAGGGGGTTCAGCCTTAGGAGCTGAAGAGCCAGACAGACCTCTGTGTCTCTGATGCTTTGCAAGTAAGAATGCATCGTTGTCCTCTCAGGACTGCTTTGATTGGGATTTCTGCCTTGAACAGGTTGGATTCGGTGGCCCTAGAAGCCCCCCTTTCCCACTCCCCTCTTCTGGGATTCTGTGACTTGGAATCATCCCTTTCTTGTCTCTTTTCTGCAGAACAACCCAAAAATCAAAGACATCCTGGCCAAATCCAAAGGACAACCCAAGAAGCGCCTGACCCACGTCTACGACCTTTGCAAAGGCAAGAACATATGTGAAGGCGGGGAGGAGATGGACAATAAGTTTGGTGTGGAGCAGCCGGAGGGCGACGAGGACCTTACCAAGGAGAAGGTCAGAGCCGCGAGGACTGGCTGGGGAGGGGAGGGTGTTGAGGGCAGGGTCTAAAGCGTGCTGTGCTTTTCACATCAGCCTGTGTTCTGGCTTCTCAACCTTCTTGGGCATTCTCTCGGTGATCAAGCTGTTCCACATTTTGCAATAACCTTTAGTGTTGCGTTCCATTAAAATACAGTAACTTTAGCACTGTTGATGCAGACTGACAAAGCAGCAACAACATTGTAAGTTGGCAGTCTTATTTTACTGCATGTGGTAAATCTTGCTATAACGCAGGAAAGCAGTTGAAAAGTTAAGACTTCTTTTATTTTTACAGAACTAAGTGCTTTAGCCTAATTGGTCTCTGCATTCCACTTTCCTAAGATAACGAAGCTGTTCCTCTGGGGAGTTTGCGTTTGAAGATAGCCAATTAAAGAACAGTTATCTGGGGTGTTAATATAGAAACCTTTCTCTTAAAAAAATGCTAGAGAATCACATCAAGTCTTTTTGGCCTTTTTTCTAACAGAAAAGGCTTTGCATTAAAACTCTGTTACTGGTGGTAGCTCAGAGTATCACTGAATGTATATGAAAATAACTGAGTATATTTGAAAACTAGTATCCGTTGTATTGTGTATACTGAATAGAAAACTTGGCAGCCAGAAGTAGTGATTTTGGGGCCAGTCCACTAGAAGTCTTTTCCAGTACATTCAAGTCTGCAATATTTATTTACTGTCTTGAGGAACATTTGTTCCAATTCCCAGGGGTTAAACCACTAGCAAAGGTACTCTGGATGAATTCCCAATTGTTGCCATGGATAATATATTTAGACTACACTTCTGATGGTAATTTGTAATTTATTACTTCTATTTGGCCCACTCTTCTTAAGAGCAAACCCATTCCTCTGTTGAAAGGACAGAATAAAATTAGAAACAGGTTGTTACTGTTCTTTTTTGTTTATATTGGTCAGACAGAAAAGAATCTGCAGCCAATGTTTAATCGGCACTTAAGAACTTTTTATATGAAAGAATTGTAATGTGACACATTCAGTAACAATGTAACTGTAATTTAACACCATGAGAAGATTGATTTTATTCTGTTTTATATTAACAAAGTTAGTTATACGTAAACACTTCCATGGACATCTTATAGGCTAAGGTTGATGGTTAGAAATGGTTTGTCCAAAACTTTATTCAAATTTTGCTCCATTTCATTGGGATTCCTCTTGAACTGAGAGAAACACCCTGTGAGATACATTTAATGAATTGTTCAGTGCATTTATGATCGAGCTGCTTATAGAGTCAAGACGAATTTGGGCCAAATAAAGCAATTAAATTCTCCAGTCCTTTGAAACTTCTCTGAGAGCAGCACCTCCCCCCTTTCCTTGCTCCCTGGAAAGAGTTGTCCATTCAGTTCATCCTGCCTCAATCCACGAGAGCAGGCCTCGCTCACAGTTTTGCTCCTTTCCCTCCTCCTTCTCCCCAAGGGCCATGGTGGCTGCGGGCGCTACCAGCCGCGGATCCGGCGCTCCGGCTTGGAGCTGTACGCCGAGTGGAAGCACGTCAACGAGGACTCCCAAGAGAAGAAGATCCTTCTGAGCCCCGAGCGGGTGCACGAGATCTTCAAGCGCATCTCGGACGAGGAGTGCTTCATCCTCGGCATGGATCCCAAGTTTGCGCGTCCGGAGTGGATGATCTGTACCGTGCTTCCTGTCCCGCCGCTTTCCGTGAGGCCGGCTGTTGTCATGCAGGGCTCTGCCCGCAATCAGGTAAAGCACCAGACAAGACAGGGCTGAGCAGGGAGTGGGAATTGGAAGCGCAAGGAGACACCTGGCTCTCACGCAATTTTTTTTTGTTCCGTCGGGTCGAGATGTGTCTTCTCTGATGGGCAGGGGTGGCTCTCCAGGGCTTTGAGAAAGCTCATTTCCTTAGCCTTTCTTAGAGGCACTAAGATTGAGCCTGCAAAAGTCCATAGTCAGAGAGAGGCTCTTCCACTGAGCTATTGTATCTTGGCTTTGAACGCAAGTGATTTGGTCACTTGTGATAAAATGACAGGGAGGGGATTGGACTGGATGGCCTCGGTGGTCTCTTTCAACTCTATGCCTCCCGCAGGAGTTACATCCTTAGCTAGGTTGTACAAAGATTTAGGCTTGTGCATTACAAATAACTGTGTTTTAACTTTGTGGGCATGACATTGTATACATAGGTGTAATTTATATAGGAACTGGTGATCAGAGGATTGTCGATTTAAAATTGGAGCCCATGAACAGAGGGCAGCCCCTGTCATGATGCTCTGGTTGCATCTGTTTCCTCTAACCTGTTTCCTTGAACCTGGCCATCCCTCCCCCCCAATGTGTTGGGGACTACCCAGGACTGAGCGGGGGGGGTGTTGGTGGGAGTTGTCGTCCAGCACGGACGGCAGGTGTGGGTTGGAACGGTCTGGCTTGCCATCCTAAAGTTCTCAATGCGTTGGATTAACGTGAGATGTTGACAGAAGGTCCTTGGTGCCAGATGTACCTCTCCCCGGCTGAATGCTTTTTCTTCCATTGTCCCTCTCTCTGCCTTGACTCCAGGATGACTTGACTCACAAACTCGCTGACATCGTAAAGATCAACAACCAGCTTCGGAGGAACGAGCAGAACGGAGCAGCTGCTCATGTCATCGCTGAAGATGTGAAGCTGCTGCAGTTCCACGTGGCCACCATGGTGGACAATGAGCTCCCTGGGTTGCCCCGTGTAAGTGACCCGGGGACCAAATCCCAAAGGCCCTCTGCTGTAGGAGACTGGCTGTTCCCTCTGAGCTCTGCAGGTGTCACCGTGTCCTTCCAGATGGCTCCTTTCAGGGCAGACCCCGGATCTTCTTAGGCCCACTGCTTTACCAGCCCTCCTCTTTGGCGGTGCTGGCTGTGACTAATGGAAGCTGTAGTCCAACCTCTGCTAGATACTTGAATCTCCTCTGTCCTCCTTTGAGTGGCTACTCAGGGAGAGGCGCTCCAGGGTTGTCTCGGCTCCCTTAGCAGTGCTTTAGCTTTGAAACAAAATACTGTACATGGAAATATCATGTAAGGTGTAAAAAAATATATATATGCTAAGGTAACCCAGAAAACTTGCTTATCAAATAGTAGCCACAGAGAAAAGGGCATTTATCATTTACTTACCCTTGAATTGAGGGGTAGATGAAGGGTAGGTCTCCAGATGTCCTTGGACTGTGGCCCCATCTGCACTATAGCCAGCCTCGTAAGGGGTGATGAGGCTGCTGTAGCCCAGCAACACCCAGGGAAGCCTCCCTTGGCTCTCTTTTCATTCACTGAATTGTTCAGAAATGGCTCAGCAGACGACACCAGAGAATTGCTGTTAACTTGCATGGGTTAAGGAGTAGATTCGAAGGCTGGCTCAGTGTCTCCTGAATGGCTCGTCACCAGCAGGCTTAGGGGTTCCCCCATGGGTCCCTGCTGTTGTTCTCTAGGCAGGGCCCTTGCCGTCAAGCTCTGCTCTCACCCTACAAGTGGGAAGAGCCCCAGCTCCTCCGATGGCCGTCGCCCCAGCCTGCTAGAGCACAGCCATCCCTTCTCCCCCCCCCCTCGGTTTGACAACACGCTTGTCTGTCTTTTTCCGCAGGCTATGCAAAAATCGGGCCGTCCCTTGAAGTCACTGAAGCAGAGACTCAAAGGGAAAGAGGGGCGCGTGCGTGGGAACCTGATGGGGAAGCGTGTGGATTTCTCTGCCCGGACCGTCATCACACCGGATCCCAACCTGTCCATCGACCAAGTGGGGGTTCCTCGCTCCATCGCGGCCAACATGACCTTTGCTGAGATTGTGACGCCTTTCAACATTGACCGGTGAGATGTCATCCCCACCCCGCAGGGTCCCCCATGGGGGGGTAGCGGATGGAGACCTGGGCCCTCCCCTCCCCGGATCCAGGCTGACCCCTCTTGATCCCTTCAGGTTGCAAGAGCTGGTGCGCAGGGGGAACAGCCAGTACCCTGGAGCCAAGTACATTATCCGGGATAACGGGGACAGGATTGACCTCCGTTTCCACCCCAAATCCAGCGACCTCCATCTGCAGATTGGCTATAAGGTCAGTGGTGCAGGGGGACAGGCGAGAAAGGGAAGTTCTGGATGAGGCAGCAGGGAGGATACAGGCATGGCTGCCTTCCAGCAGGGGAGGCAAAGAAGAACTTGGGTGGGGGACTCAGCAGAGTGGGCACCCCCCCTTTAAAAAAATTTTTTTTTGCATGCAATCCTTTGGAAGTATGAAATGCCCAGAAAGTAACTGCAAGAATATTTTTGATGTCTTGAGGCAGAGTATTTTATCCAGTTGAATACCTTTTTTTTCTCTTCTGGCTGTCGGAAGGTGTGCATTCTGTACTTTGGAGGTACGTGACCTGGGATCTCTTCCCTCCCTTTTCCAGGTTGAACGGCACATGTGTGATGGGGACATTGTCATTTTCAACCGGCAGCCGACGCTGCACAAGATGTCCATGATGGGGCACAGGGTCCGCATCCTGCCCTGGTCCACCTTCCGCCTCAATCTCAGGTGAGCAGGTGGCCTCTTTGAGCACTGCTTTGGCCAAGTATTTCCCGTCTGCCCCCAGCACATGGTCTCTGCTGCAATTCCGAAAATGCAGGCAAAGCTATTCCTAGGAGAGATTATTTTTCTCACTCTTGCTATAAGACTGGCTCAAATGACCTGGTTTTGGAGACTCGTCCACCTGTGGGGCTTCTGTGTCTCAAACTTGTGTCTTGCCCAAGTTGAAAGAGCTCTTACAAGATCTGTGAAAAGTGAGGTATTCAGTACAGGCCAAAAGTGCCGGGAGGAGATTGAAGGGGGAAGGCAGCCACTTTCTTTCTCTCCCTCCTGGCGGTCGGTCAGGGTGGACCTCCAGTGGGGCTCTTGGCTAGATCTGAGCCTCATGGGCTTGTTTCTCTGAACGGCAGCGTCACCACCCCTTACAACGCGGACTTCGATGGTGATGAGATGAACCTACACCTCCCCCAGTCCCTCGAGACGCGGGCGGAGATCCAGGAACTGGCCATGGTGCCCCGTATGATCGTCACCCCCCAGTCCAACCGGCCGGTCATGGGCATCGTGCAGGATACTCTGACAGCTGTCCGCAAGTTCACAAAGAGGGACGTCTTTCTGGAGAGGGTGAGTAAAATGGGGAAGCTTTTGCAGGGAGAGGAAGGGATTAGGGTGGCGTGTTAACCGGAATTATTTTTTCCCCCTCTTATCATGCTTATTGCCATTTTTTTTCTTACTCCATAGCAATTGGTAGAGAATTGGACGCTGTGCCTGTTTCTATGTAGGAACATGCCACAGACTTAAAAGGGTCTAGAGGTTTTCAGTTTAAAGCAAAACAATAAAAAAATAAAAATAAAAATAAAATAAAATCTTGTGGCTCCAGGGTCTAGAGGTTTTCAGTTTAAAGCAAAAAATATATATATTCTGGACTCTTGAGTCCCAGCTCTTGTGGCTCCGCTTCCAGGGTGAAGTGATGAACCTGCTGATGTTCCTCTCCACCTGGGATGGCAAAGTGCCTCAGCCGGCCATCCTCAAGCCTCGGCCCCTCTGGACCGGGAAGCAGATCTTCTCACTCATCATCCCTGGTCACATCAACTGCATCCGTACGCACAGCACCCATCCGGACGATGAAGACAGCGGCCCTTACAAACACATCTCTCCTGGAGACACCAAGGTACGCCTTGCTTTGGGGTCATGGTTGGGAGAAGGGCGAGAGGGTCCCCTTTTCCTCTCCTGGTGGATGATGGGAGAGGGGAGTGGTGGTCAAATGTACTTGATGAAGTTGGCAGAGCTGGAGCAAAGAGATGTTCCAGGAGAGCAAGAACATTCTTCCACCGCCTTTCCTAGGCTCCTGATTCCTGCCAGCTTAGCTATCTTTTCGTCGATTGGATCCCCATAGCCATGCCCTTCCAGGCAGAATTAAGTTGTGTTTTTTTTTAAAACAGAAACTTGGAGACTAGAAGATTTGCCCTAGAAAGGCATGTCTAACTTGCTCAGACCCAAGTTCTTAGGTTTGTGCTGAACAGAAACTTGGATATTACAGTCGCTGATAACATCCAGTTTCTGTTCTGTCTCCCTCTTTATTTGGGTTTTATTCGTTTGTTTATTTGAGTGAAGAGTAAAAAGGAGTAGCGGCAGAGGGGAGCCCCAGACAACTAGATATATATTTGACCTTGAACTGTAGCAAAAGTGCCTGGGAAACATCCTTGAGGGAGGGAGTTAATCCCAGGAATCTCGCTCAGGGAAGGCTCTCTCCTTTAATGTCGAAAGACTGTCGAGAAGGAGGCCTGAAATGGTGAATGGATTCATGTCAAATAAGACAGTTCTTAAATGCCCAGATCTTAGACTTTCTGGGACCAAAAGGACATGCTTCGGATTCGGACAGGAAAGGTATGAGAGTCCAGCCTGGGTGGAGGAGCGGCTGCATCTCTGGGCACCTCCCAGCCTTCTGGGGAAGGAAGGCACCTCTTTGGGCCTCTGGCACTGAATTCCTTTGTCACCCATTTCCTTCCCCCACCCACCCCCCAGGCAAGGGGGGGGCGATGACACACAAATCTCAGAGGGAGGGGGTGGGTTTCCCTTTAATTTAAAGACAAGAGTAGAGAGAGAGAGAGACTCGTGGTAGGATTGGAAGAGGGAAGGGTTAGGGGAAGCAGCCCCCCCCCCGGTGGTTTGGGGGAATCCCTTGGTTTTTGGTTTGAGGGAATCCCTTGGTTTTAGACTTGAGTCCAGGCACCTGCCCCCCCCCCACAGCCTCTAGCCTCAGGCATCCTCTTGCCACCCTTTCTCTTCTCCAGGTCATTGTGGAAAACGGGGAGCTGATCATGGGCATTCTGTGCAAGAAGTCTCTGGGCACCTCGGCGGGCTCCCTGGTCCACATCTCCTACCTGGAGATGGGCCACGACATCACCCGCCTCTTCTACAGCAACATCCAGACGGTCATCAACAACTGGCTGCTGATTGAAGGCGAGCCGCGGGTAGCGGGAAAGGGCGGGGCGACGGGAAAGGGCAGGACAGCCTGCATGGGACGTGCCCAAGGGGACACTGGCTGTTGTTGTGATGTGGGGATGATGTGAGTGGTTGCCCTGAGGCTCTTTGCCAGGGCGCCCCCTGGAACGTCTATGGTAGAGGCGGATCTAGGGTGGGGTGGCTTTACGGGAGGCAGAAGCTGGAAACATGTGGAGGCCAATAAGAAGTGCTGCTTTTTTTCCCCCTCCATGTTTTCGTGAGAAATTGCAGCCTCTCCTGTCTCAATAAATTGGGTCATTGCTCAGCAGCCCTTCTCCACCTCCACCCCCACCCCGATAGCCTGTAAGGGAGTGAAGGTTTTCTAGGATCCCACAGAAAGGGGACTCAGGATCAGGCTGCTGTCTTTACCAGCTTAGCTCTGGTGTAAAGTTCCCCTGTTGCATTCATGACACACACATACACACACACACACACACACAGACACAGACACAAAGAGAGAGAGGCGCAGGAGAGCTCTCGTCTCTCAAGCAAAGAAACGTGAAGTTTTGTATGCAGCTTTCCTGGCTTTAAACCCTCGGGCTGCTCCTCGCAGGTCACACCATCGGCATCGGGGACTCCATTGCTGACGCCAAGACCTACCAGGACATTCAGAACACCATCAAGAAGGCCAAGCAGGATGTGATAGAGGTAAGAAGCGGGGAAGGAAGGAGGAAACGGGTTCAGTGCCAATGGGGGTGGGGGCTTCTTTTGCCCTGGGGTTGGGCTGTCGGCCAGGGAGGTAGAAGCCTTTTAGGGGCAGGGGCACAGAAGGAAAGACCTAGGCTGTCAGATGGGGGAGGACTTATTACAGAACACACACACCCCGAGGTAACGAGGGGAAGAAAAATCATCCCCCTGAGCCACTCATTGGCTTCCGAGCTTGTTTGCTTTTTGTTTTGAAAGTTTTAAGTTTTCCCAGGGAGGCTTATGAAAGCAAAGTTCAGAAAGATTCAGTAATCAAAATGTTTATTTCATTTGTTTTATGAGTTTCAGACATATGGTTGTGGAATGGTGGGGGTTAGGCTTCATATTGCAGGAGGACCTCCCTATTTTTTATTTTTTGCCTGCAGGATCATTTTATTCACACTGAAACCAATCTCCTGTAATTACGGAGGTCCTACTGTATATTGTAATGACCTCCCAGAGTAGTGGCCCCACTAAATCTGCTGGGATATAAGTATCAAAAATAGATAGACAGATAGCAGTGCAAAATAAATTAGGTAGATCGATAGATGCATGCTGTACGTCTTGCTGGGGGCACCAGGCCAGAGAGTGCACAGAATATTAATTGGGAGAAGACCAGACAGTCTATACTGTAGGTAGAAATAAGGAACGGAGTACAGCATCTCAGGGATCTCGGTGTGAGTCCGCAACACTGTTGTGCGACGTGTTTTTTCACTTGGAAAGGTGTCTCGCCACCTTGTGTTTCTTAGGGTTGAGCAGGGGAATTTTTTTTTCCTGTTTAGAAGAGGTGGGGCTCTTCGCCCGACCCTTGGCCTTGGTTTTCTCAAGGGGGGGGGAGCCCGTTCTGACCCTTTTTCTCTGGCCAGGTCATTGAGAAGGCCCACAACAACGAGCTGGAGCCCACACCTGGTAACACCCTGCGGCAGACGTTTGAGAACCAGGTCAACAGGATCCTGAATGACGCCCGAGACAAGACGGGTTCCTCCGCCCAGAAGTCCCTCTCCGAGTACAACAACTTCAAGTCCATGGTGGTGTCGGGCGCCAAGGGCTCTAAGATCAACATCTCCCAGGTAGGCCGGCCGTCAGGCCCTGCCCAGTCCACTCCTGCTGCCAGGCTCCAAGCCAGACCATGGGGCACCCTGCCCTGCTTCCCTGTTACACTGCAGCTACTCCACTGACACCCCCCCTCCGCCCGGGGCATGGCCCTGACTCTCTGGCCCTTTGCTCCCTCCCGCAGGTCATTGCCGTGGTGGGCCAGCAAAACGTGGAAGGGAAGCGTATCCCCTTCGGCTTCAAGCATCGGACGCTGCCTCACTTCATCAAGGATGACTACGGTCCCGAGAGCAGGGGCTTTGTGGAGAACTCCTATCTGGCTGGCCTCACCCCGACCGAGTTCTTCTTCCACGCCATGGGAGGCCGAGAGGGATTGATCGACACAGCTGTCAAAACAGCAGAAACAGGTGAGTGGGCGCAGGGAAACAGACCTGGGGGCAGAAATTGCTCAGGAGCCAGCCAGCCATGCCGTGGGGCAAGTCCTTGACTCTTAGTAAAGGAGCAGATCTCTTGGGTAATCCTGTTTTTAAAAGCTTCACCCGCAAGCCTGGGAATGGAGGGTGGTTGCACCGTCGAGGGCTTTTTCAGCGTTTGCTCCAACGTTTCCATTTTGGGGTTTGGCTTTGGTGATTACACTGCAATGAAAATCGAGGGCTACATTGACCCACGGCACAGACGGGCTGGCGAATGGAGTTAGGAAGTATGGAGGGGGGGAGAGTCAGTGAAGGGCCAGAAATTGACGGATCTCCATCTTTCGACCCTATCAGGTTACATCCAGCGCCGACTCATCAAGTCTATGGAGTCAGTGATGGTGAAGTACGACGCCACCGTGCGCAACTCGATCAACCAGGTGGTGCAGCTGCGCTACGGCGAGGATGGGCTGGCCGGGGAGAGTGTGGAGTTCCAGAACCTGGCCACCCTCAAGCCTTCCAACAAGGCCTTCGAGAAGAAGTGAGTCCCGGGCTCTGGATTGGTGGCCTATCTGTGTGTGGGCAGAGGAACAGCTGTTTTTCCTCTGTGGCTCTTAGGTTCACCTGGGAATGGTACTGTCTTCTGTCTATGCAACAGGGGCCCATCTAGCATTTTGTGCCAATGGGCAGTGGGGGGGGGAGGGTTTGAAGGCCCTCCTCCTTCACTTGAAATGGCTCAAATGAGTGGGTTCTTGGGTGGCTCTTCAAGGAGACCAGAATGTCTTCCAGGACATCTGAAATTGAAAGTTTCTTTCTGAGGCCTGTCAAAAAAACCCCAGGGCAGTCCCAGCGGGAGCCCCTCTTCACAGGTCCCTGGAGAGGGTGGGGGGTTGCATCCTCCTTCTGGCGGGAAGTTTGGATGATGTAGAGGAAGTGGGGGAGACGCTGCCGGTGACGGCAGCCCCAGGCCTGAAGGCTGCTTGCTTGGCATTCATTCCTCTTAGGTTCAAATTTGACTACACCAACGAGCGGGCCCTGCGGCGCACCCTGCAGGAGGAGATGGTGAAGGACATCCTGAGCAACGCTCACATCCAGAACGAGTTGGAGAGGGAGTTTGAGAAGATGAAGGAGGACCGGGAGGTGCTGAGGGTCATTTTCCCCACGGGAGACAGCAAGGTGAGGCCCATCTGGACTCCCCTTTTCCTTCTCTATGGGCACCCGGGCCTGCACCCAGAGAAAGGGTCCCGAGGTGTCTTCCGGTGGCTTCCCCATCGGTCTCCACCCTTCTCTCTCCACCCACCTAACTGCATGTTAGAGCTTTGGGGGGGGGAGGAATTGCATCCATGGGTTTTCTCCACCCAACCCACCCCAGCATTTATTTTCTGCTGGCATCTGCTAAATCTCCCCCTGGTGTTGTTCTCTCTCACGCTTTGCATCGCTGAGGGTCCGTCTGCCCTCACAATTTGCGGTCTTCCTTCCCCTTCTGCTGGCACTGGGTAGAAAGGGAAAGCGAGGCTATTCCTGGGGCGACAGGAACAAGGCAGCCCGCTTCCAGATCACACGAAAACCCCCACCCACCCCCAGTTCTTGGTTCCTGCTGCGGCAGCTGATGAAGACCTCTCCTTTCCCATAGGTGGTTCTTCCTTGCAACCTGCTGCGGATGATCTGGAACGCCCAGAAGATCTTCCACATCAACACTCGCCTTCCGTCTGACTTGCACCCCATTAAGGTGGTGGAGGGTGAGTTTCAGGAACTGTGTGTTGGGGGGGTGGAACAGGGAGACGGGAGCCTTTTGGGTTTTTTTTGTTTTGGCTTGGGAAAAGGCCCTGCCTTTGTATGTGTCTTTGCTGGGTTGTGTAGAATGTAAGGTTTTGCTGCTTAAAACCCCCAGAGCCCAGTGAACCTACATCTTCTCAGTGACCAACTCAGGGGAGATGAGAAGGAAGAATCCTGTATCACCCATTGAACCGTGGGGTGTTTCTTTTGCTCTATTTAAATGGCTTTTAAAGAACTGTTTAGCGTTCAGTTTAACGTGACAGTCCCTTAAATAGGGATTAAGGAAATCCAAGGGAATGCATGAAAGCAAGTAAACAGATGGACCTCAAGCGTTAGTGGCAGGCAAGGAGTGGGAGCCTCACCTTTTCGCCATCTCCTCCTCAGGGGTGAAGGAGCTCAGCAAGAAGCTGGTGATTGTGAATGGTGACGATCCCCTGAGTAAGCAGGCCCAGGAGAACGCCACGCTGCTCTTCAACATCCACCTGCGCTCCACCTTGTGCAGCCGGCGCATGATTGAGGAGTTCCGCCTGAGCGGCGAAGCCTTTGACTGGCTCCTGGGTGAAATCGAGTCCAAGTTCAACCAGGCCATCGTGAGTGACACCCCCTTCTGCCCCCCGCCATCCAGAAAGTGCTTTGTTTTCTGCAGGAAAGGGAATCCTGGCGATTGAACCAGAGAGGTCCTGGAATGGGAGGTTAACCTCTTGTTTCAAAGAAGGCAACTTGAAACTCTCGCTTGCCAAGTTGCCTTTTTTTGAGAAGTTTTGGTTGAGGTTAATGACAGTTTAGGGTTTTAACTACTAAGTTGTACTTGTTAAGATCATTGAAGGAGAAGGTTAACGTCTCCAGAGGTTTGGGGATCATAACCTGGAATAAAGCTTGTAATGCTGTATTCCTGTGCGGGTTTTTTTTTAAAGCATAAAAGGCGTGGATTTATGTAGTTGGAAGTAGTTCTTTATACAAAGACATGCCAGAATCAGCTGCTTGACACCCCCCCCCGCATGGGTGCTTCCTTTCCTAGGCTCACCCAGGCGAGATGGTGGGCGCTCTGGCTGCCCAGTCCCTGGGAGAACCGGCCACCCAGATGACCCTCAACACCTTCCATTACGCTGGTGTCTCGGCCAAGAACGTGACGCTGGGTGTGCCTCGACTCAAGGAGTTGATCAACATCTCCAAGAAGCCCAAGACCCCCTCACTGACCGTCTTCCTGCTGGGCCAGTCGGCTCGCGATGCCGAGAGGGCCAAGGTAAGCAGAGGGCGGGAAGGAAGGAGAAGGTTAACGTCTCCAGAGGTTTTGGGATCATGTGAACCTGGAATAAAGCTTGTCATGCTGTATTCCTGTGGGTTTTTTTTTTAAGCATAAAAGGCGTGGATTTATGTACAGTGGTGCCTCGCTTAACGAGTGCACCGTATAACGAAGAATCCGTATAGCGATCCCTTTTTGGGGATCGCTATACGGAGCTGCCCCACTCGCCGCACTCGCTTTGCGACGATTGGGGCGTCCGGCGGCCATTTTGGAGCCGCCGAACAGCTGATCGGCGGCTCCAAAATGGCTGCTGGATGACCCGAAATGGCCCCCTATCAGTGTTTTCGCGCCCTCCCCTTGCTTACTGAGGTCGCGAAAACACTGCGGGGGGCATTTCGGGTCATCCGCGGCCATTAAAATGGCCGCCGGACCGCGAAAACATCGCTGGAGGGGCGTGGAGGAGAGAATTCTAGAGGCTGAAAAAGGGACAACGTCCGCCTGCCAGGGCAGTTCAGCTCTCCCTGCCAGCAGCTCCAGTTCATTAGGAGCTTCTTATTTAATTTAAGCCACTGTTTAGTGTCTGCTGTTTGCTCTGTGATGTGGACAGCAAGTTTTACTATGTGCCGGGACCACCACCACCACCATTGTCATCAAGCTGGCTGGTAGTAGGGCCTCTAGAATGCGCAAGGACATGGAACGAGGTGTGAGAAGAGGGTGTCGGTTGAAAGAAGGAGAAAAGCGGAAGGCTCTCCCTGAAGTGTTGTTGGCAAGAGGGGGGGGTTGGTTGGTTCCTCCTTTGTGTTTGGGGCTTCTTCTTCACCGCTGTCCCTTCTGCGCCTGCTCCCCAGGACATTCTTTGCCGCCTCGAGCACACGACCCTCCGCAAGGTGACGGCCAACACTGCCATCTATTACGACCCCAACCCTCAGAACACGGTGGTGGCCGAGGATCAGGAGTGGGTGAACGTTTACTATGAGATGCCTGACTTTGATGTGGCCCGCATCTCTCCGTGGCTGCTTCGGGTGGAGCTGGACCGCAAGCACATGACGGATCGCAAGCTCACCATGGAGCAGATCGCCGAGAAGATCAATGCTGGTGAGGCCCCGGGGGACGATGGGGTGGGGCAGGCACGACTCGGGGGTGAGGATAGGGTTTTCACCCAGAGCGGTCCCGGCTGTCCAGCTTCCAGTCCGTGGCCACCGGTCCCTTTGCTGCTGCTGGCGGCCAATAAACCCTTCTGCTTCCTTCTTCCCGCAGGCTTTGGAGATGACCTTAACTGCATTTTCAATGATGACAACGCTGAGAAGCTGGTCCTGCGGATCCGTATCATGAACAGCGATGAGAACAAGATGCAGGAGGTGGGCCGTGTCCCAGAGAAAGAAGGAAGGGGGTGGTGGTGTTGCTGTCATCCCTGGTTCACAGAACAGGCTTCACAGAACAGGGGCCCTATCGCTGAATCTCTTGGCTGCGTGTCAGGGCACGGCAGGGATATAGTAGATCTGGGAATGCAGCAACAGGCCTCAGAGGCTCTGCCCTACACTCCTGGGAATGGTCCCTCTAGACTAGTGGTTCTTAACCTTTGTTACTCGGATGTTTTTGAACTGCAGCTCCCAGAAACCCCAGCCAGCACAGTTGGTGGTGAAGGCTTCTGGGAGTTGCAGTCCAAAACTCCTGAGTAACCCAAGGTTAAGAACCAGTGCTCTAGACGACCAGAAAGACGCTATGGGGGCCAAAACAAAAAACCCTGTGTCTTGGGTGGGTGAGAGCTGTCCCCCACAAGACCAAAGATCCTCACGTGGTCCAGAAACAGGGCAATAGGTCCCCTTACCCTAGATGGATTTAATCGACTGGCTGAAGTCAATAAACAATAGAAAATCAGGAGAAGGTCCAAGTTCACAGAGGCAGCTAAGCCGTTTGGACTGCTCAAAGTGAACGCTGACTCTTTGGTCTGGGGTGCTCTGGTCTGGTCTGCATTGAGTGGCTCACACAGGTCATAGGGGTGTAGCCGTGTTGTGCTTTGAGGTGCACAGCTGTTGGGCCTGATCCTAGACACGGGGTGGGGGCGTGAGCAAAAGACTTTTCAGTCCCGTGTACTTAGACGTTTCCTGCCTTCCCTTTCCCATTCCTAAGGAGGAAGAGGTGGTGGACAAGATGGACGACGACGTTTTCCCTCACACAGGCCATAGGGGTGTAGCCGTGTTGTGCTTTGAGGTGCACAGCTGTTGGGCCTGATCCTAGACACGGGGGCGCACGAGAGAAAGACTTTTCAGTCCCGTGTACGGTGGGCTTAGACATTTCCTGTCCTCCCTTTCCTGTTCCTAAGGAAGAAGAGGTGGTGGACAAGATGGACGACGATGTTTTCTTGCGTTGCATCGAATCCAACATGCTGACAGATATGACACTCCAGGGTATTGAGCAGATCAGCAAGGTGAGAAGGTGGACAGGGTCCAGGGAGGGGAGGGGGGTTGTTGCTCTTCAAAGTTCCTTTTCATGTTTTGGGGGGGCACCTCCCGCCTGATCTGAAGGCCCAAGCTTGGGAGAGGCGGTGCTAGCTGTGGTCTTTCCAGCGAGATAAGTCGGGTGCCATGTGCAGCCAGCCCTCATTGCTTCACCCCACTTCTCTCCCTTTTTTTCCCCCAACCACGACATGTTCCGGGCAGGTGTATATGCATCTGCCCCAGACGGACAATAAGAAGAAGATCATCATTACGGAAGACGGGGAGTTCAAGGCCTTACAAGAGTGGATTCTGGAGACGGACGGCGTGAGCCTTATGCGAGTGCTGAGCGAGAAGGACGTGGACCCAGTCCGCACCACTTCCAATGACATTGTGGAGATCTTCACGGTAGGCATCGGGGGCGGGCAGGAGATGTTGCCCCTGGGGGGGGGCGGTTTGAGGTCCCAGGGTTTGTAGGACACAAAAGTGTTTCCTTTGGGATGGCACAGTTCGGAAATGGTTCCAGTTTTCACAACGGTGAATCTTCGCGCGGAAGGCTTATGGCTGTTGCCTGCTGTGAGATTTAGGGGAATGCTGGGGTATATCAATAGAAGCAAGTAATTCAGGATCCGTCAGAATGCAGATCCTGAATTACGACGTTCTGGAAGGATGTCACACAGAAGATAGAGCAGGCTTTTTGTTTTCTCCTGCCCTGGAGAGCAGGAACTGAACAGATAGGGAGGAGGGTCTTAAGTGGATCGCAGGAAAGATGTCTCTGACAGTAAGAGCCGTTGGAGGGTATAACTGACTTACCTTGGGAGATTGTAGGTTCTCCTTCATGGGAGAGTGGTAAACCTAGCGTTAGACAGCTGTCTCTCAGGGATGCTAATTCATTCTTTTTTCTTCTTCATTTTTTAAACTTTTCTCTGGTTTGTGCCTGTCACAGAGGATGACGGGTTCACAGAGCAGCAGCACACGGAGGCTGCGTTGTTCAGCCGAGGTCTGGCTCTCTGTCCTGGCTTGGCCTTTAAGGTGTCTCTGGTTGTCTCCGGGCAGGTGCTGGGGATCGAGGCCGTGCGCAAGGCCCTGGAGAGGGAGCTGTACCACGTCATCTCCTTTGACGGCTCCTACGTCAACTATCGCCACCTGGCGCTGCTGTGCGACACCATGACGTGTCGCGGACACTTGATGGCCATCACCCGGCATGGCGTCAACCGTCAGGACACGGGGCCCCTGATGAAGTGTTCCTTTGAAGAGACGGTGAGTAGTTGGGGAATGCAGCAGCTAGACAACACCTCCTCCCCCTGAATCCTTTCCGCCTGCCATATGGGGTGAAGGTTGAGCATCCCTTGACTCCCGGCACCCTTTGGCGTCCCCTGCAGGTTGACGTCTTGATGGAAGCGGCTGCTCATGGCGAAAGCGACCCCATGAAAGGTGTCTCGGAGAACATCATGCTGGGTCAGCTCGCCCCAGCAGGGACTGGCTGCTTCGACCTCCTATTAGATGCGGAGAAATGCAAATACGGGATGGAGATCCCCACCAACATCCCTGGGTTGGGCGTTGGAGGGCGTGAGTAGTCGACACTCTTGGTTGTACCTCTAGCCAGCACGCGGGGATCATGAAGTGTGGGACCTGGGCATCGGGGATCTTTGGCCACCTTCGGGGTGGAAGCCGTGAGTCCAGTGGAGTCAGAGACCTTGGCCCAGCACAGAATGTGCCAGGGAGCTGATCTGCACCAGCAGACGGACATGGACAGCAGAGAGAAACGCAGGCAGAAATTGATGAATACTTAACAAAACTGGGTTACCGGTCCTCATGTTGTCCTTGGAAGGAATCCCATGTTTTCTCTATCAGAAGTTCAGGCTGGGCAAGTTGGGGCTTTTGCAAGCTTCACTTGACCTGAGTCTACGGAGCTTGTGGGAATGGCTCAGGACAAGGTAGAGTGAGGTGGGGAGAGAGAATTGGAGAGCAGGAACCAAACCGTGTGGAAATAAAATTCAGGCTGACTAGGGCAGCTTGATTTGGGTGGGGGTGTGTGCTTAGAAACTGTAGGTGAGAGCACTGAACTGGGGGAAGAAGGTTCGACTGGCTTCCGGGGTGATCCTCTGCTCCCCCTTCCTTCTTTCGAGGCAGGCAGTTGACAGTAAAGGATACGCCCCCCCCCCGGGTCAAGGGTGGGAGCAGGAGCCACCGCGGTTCGGCAAAGCCTGAAGGGAAGGGCCCCACCTCATTTGAGCACAGCGGGTCCAGGTTTTCTTCTCTCCTTCCACCCAGTTTGACCCATGTGTTTCTTTTCTCCTAGCTACCGGCATGTTCTTTGGCTCGGCTCCAAGCCCCATGGGTGGAATGTCGCCTGCCATGACCCCCTGGAATGTCGGGGCCACTCCCGCGTACGGAGCGTGGTCTCCTAGTGTCGGTAGGTATGGGTGAGAATAGGAGGGGCGGGCCGGCTGAAAACTGTTCCACCTGGACCAGGGAGCAAGTTGGACCTGGCCTGTTTGGATCCTTGTTTTTGCTCTCGCTGATGTTCCTCTTCCTCGCCAAGGCCTCTTACATGGCAGCTGCTTGATCTCCCCCCCCCCGCTTCCCAGGAACGCTGCAAAGTAGCTTAGGGTTAAGAGGCAGGCATGATGGGCGTAAGGTCTCCCGGAGAAGCCTCTTGGCTGAGGAGGGGTTTGAATCAAAACCTTCCCAGTCTGACCCCAGTGAGAGGGGACCAGGATAGAAGGAATTCCTTGACGGAAAGAGCCCTTTGTCAGCGGAACAGGCCGGCTCACGAGGTGGGGCCTCTCTATCCAGCGGGGATTTTTAAACCATGGTGGGAGGGCCGCCTGTCGGTGACCCTTCCAGAGGCAGATTTCCTGCTGCTGTGGGGTTGGGCGAGATGGTCCTTGGGTTATGTTCTGTCAGTACAGGTCTGTGATGCTGTAACACCAGCAGTCGGATTTCGCTCACCCGAGCCACCTTCCAGCCTTTTTGTGCCTCTTGATTAAAGCCCTGCAGACTAACTTTGCCAATTCGTGTGTTTCCACATTTGATTGTCAAACAGAGAACTCCCTTCATCGACTGCTTTGTGTGTGCTGAGGGGTATTTTGGATTCCACCCTAGTTCTAAGATGCAGCCAAAGGAGCTTTGAAATTCTCAAGGAGGATCAGGTGCTTTTGAGCCTGTATTTATGCCGATATTCACAGGCTCTCTTGGCGTGGGTTTGGCCTCGGCCAGGACAGATGATGACTTGAAAATGCCCCGACAGAGAAGTAGGGATGTGCAGGGCCTTTTGTTAATTGCTTTTTAGAAGCCGCTCCTCTGGAGTAACAAAATTGATTTGCCACTGGTTTTAAGGCCTTTGCTTTTGTTCTCACCAGCTGGCGGTTGGGTCTTAGCTGGTTACTGTCTCTCTGGCTTTGTATTTTGTTCATCATTTTTGAGGGAGAGGAAAAGAAGGGTGAGTGTTTCTTCAGTGAAATGGAAAAATTAGGCTGGTCTTTACCAGCCTCTGCCAGAAACGTGCTGCTGAGCAGCGATGGTAACATGAGTTGTGACAGCCTAGGGGGGCCCTTCAAGTTGCTGCGGTTGATCAATGACTTTGCTCTTAATTCTGTCTGCTCCTTTCTTCACCTGCAGGTAGCGGAATGACTCCCGGGGCAGCTGGCTTTTCACCCAGTGCTGCTTCCGATGCCAGCGGCTTCAGCCCAGGGTATTCTCCAGCCTGGTCACCCACCCCAGGGTCTCCGGGGTCTCCAGGGCCATCTAGCCCATACATCCCATCACCTGGTGAGTATGGGCGATATTGGGGTGCTCGCCCACTGTATCTCTCCTCAGTGGGTTTAAGTCCCAGAAGATCAGTTGCAAGTGTTAGACTTAACCAGTGAATAGCATTGATAGACAGACATGGTCATGATTAATTTCATTTCACAACGAGAATAAATAACTCACACCGGTGTTCCTTCCTTGTTTTCTCTAGGTGGAGCGATGTCTCCCAGCTATTCCCCAACATCTCCCGCCTACGAACCCCGCTCCCCAGGAGCGTATACGCCCCAGAGCCCCAGCTACAGCCCCACTTCGCCTTCCTACAGCCCCACATCTCCCTCGTACTCCCCTACTAGTCCAAATTACAGCCCCACCAGCCCCAGCTACAGCCCCACATCTCCAAGTTACTCTCCAACCAGCCCCAGCTACAGCCCCACATCCCCTAGCTACAGCCCCACCAGCCCCAGCTACAGCCCCACATCTCCCAGCTATTCCCCCACTAGCCCCAGTTACAGCCCAACCAGCCCCAGTTACAGCCCAACTTCACCCAGTTACAGCCCCACCAGCCCCAGCTACAGCCCAACATCACCCAGCTACAGCCCAACCAGCCCCAGCTACAGTCCAACGTCCCCTAGCTACAGCCCCACCAGTCCTAGTTACAGCCCGACCAGCCCCAATTACAGCCCAACATCTCCAAATTATACACCCACTTCTCCCAGCTACAGCCCGACATCTCCCAGCTACAGCCCAACGTCTCCCAACTACACACCGACGTCTCCCAACTACAGCCCGACCTCGCCCAGCTACTCTCCAACCAGCCCCTCCTACAGCCCGACCTCGCCCAGCTACTCTCCGTCTAGCCCCCGCTACACCCCGCAGTCTCCCACCTACACCCCGTCGTCCCCTAGCTACAGCCCCAGTTCGCCCAGTTACAGCCCCACCAGCCCCAAATACACCCCAACCAGCCCATCTTATAGCCCCAGCTCCCCAGAGTACACCCCGACCTCGCCCAAGTACAGCCCGACCTCGCCCAAGTACAGCCCCACCTCTCCGACCTACAGCCCGACCACCCCGAAGTACAGCCCCACCAGCCCTACCTACTCTCCGACCTCGCCCGTCTACACCCCGACCTCGCCCAAGTACAGCCCGACGAGTCCCACTTACTCGCCCACCTCGCCCAAGTACAGCCCAACTTCGCCGACTTATTCGCCCACCTCCCCGAAAGGTTCCACCTATTCGCCGACTTCCCCAGGCTACAGCCCGACGTCGCCGACCTACAGCCTCACCAGCCCAGCCATCAGTCCGGACGACAGCGATGAAGACAACTGAGGGGGTGAAGGGGACAGGCCGGCTCTCGCCCCGCAGATCGGTCGGGGTGTGATTTCCGGCTTCCGTGCTTTGCGATTTGATGAAACCCTTTTCGGGAGATGAAAGAACTTGCAATCGTT